TGCACTCTCTCGACTTCAGCACAGCTTTCTTGCAGGGCAGCCTGCACGAGGAGATCTGGCTGCGTCGCCCACCTGGCTTCACTGGGTCTTTCCCTCCTGGTACCCAGTGGAGTCTCCGGCGTCCAGTCTACGGTCTCCGCCAGGCGCCACGTGAGTGGCACGACACACTGAGGACTACGCTCGCGGCACTTGGGTTTGCTCCTTCTACTGCCGACCCGTCGCTGTTTCTGCGCACTGACACCTCTCTGCCGCCGTTCTACATCCTCGTGTACGTCGACGACTTGGTCTTTGCCACAGCTGACACTGCTGGACTCGCCTACGTGAAGTCCGAGCTGCAGAAGAGACACACGTGCACTGACCTGGGTGAACTGCGCAGCTACCTTGGCTTGCAGATCACCCGGGACAGAGCACGCCGCACCATTACCCTGACTCAGTCACACATGGTGCAGCAGGTCCTTCAGCGCTACGGCTTCACGTACTCCTCGCCTCAGGCCACTCCTCTGCCTACTCGCCACTCGCTCTCAGCTCTGCCTTCGGATGAGTCCGTAGAGTCGAGTGGCCCGTTTGCAGAGCTTGTTGGCTGCCTCATGTACCTGATGACCTGCACACGACCTGACCTCGCATACCCTCTTAGCATTCTCGCACGCTATGTTGCTCCTGGGAGACACCGACCAGAGCACATGGCTGCAGCGAAGAGGGTGTTGCGCTACTTGTGCAGCACGTCGGGCATGGGGCTAGTGCTTGGAGGGCGGAGTCCAGTGGTCCTCACTGGGCACGCAGACGCTTCTTGGGCTGACGACCAGGCTACGCAGCGGTCGTCACAGGGTTACACCTTCAGTCTTGGTTCCGGCTCTGTCTCGTGGCGGGCTACCCGCTCGTCTTCTGTTCTCGGCTCCAGTTGTGAGGCTGAGATCTACGCTGGGGCTATGGCTGCACAGGAGTTACGCTGGCTCACCTACCTGCTGACTGACCTTGGAGAGCAGCCTCGTTCTCCTCCAGTCCTGTACGTAGACAACAAGGCCATGCTGGCCTTGTGTCGAGAGCAGCGACTGGAGCACAGAACGAAGCACATTGCTCTCCGCTACTTTCTTGCTCGTGAGCTACAGCAGCGTGGACAGTTGCGACTTGCGTACGTGGCCTCTGAGGCCAACACTGCTGATGTCTTCACCAAGGCACTTGCGCCTTGTGATCATCAGCGTTGCTGCACGCAGTTGGGTCTTGTGCCTGTCTTGCCTCACTTGCTCTCCTCTTGACCTTGCTTGTACCTTCGCATATATATACCCTTGCTCTTGCTTACTTGACTCTTGTATACCTCTATATATGATCTTGCATGTGAACTGGCCGTCTGGCCTTTTAACTTGTGCTCGGAATGCGTGGTGACTTTGTGATCCACCCTGAGCTTTGCTTTGCTTTGCTTGACTGGTCGTGTGACCCCTTGTTCTCCCCCACTCTGCCTATGGGGGTGTGTCAGAACATATAGCTAACTTATTTGTGTAGGCTATAGTGGGGTATCCCATAGGGGGTACAACCCAATTAGGGTTTCCTATTTGTACTCACTTCGTTCATACTCATTTCATTCTCGTTCAATTCTTCTCAGTACTCGCTATAGAGCACCCCACTACAGGCTAGAACATAAGATAACATTCTGACACCAAGGAGTGGCGTGCCGCGATGGATGCGGAGCTGAAGGCACTGGAATCACGAGACACCTGGGTCCTAGTCGATCGTGCAGCAGTGAAGGGGAGGAGGGTGCTCAGTGGAAAGTGGGTTTTTCGCCTGAAAACTAACGCTGACAGCACTATCGAGCGTTTTAAGGCACACTGGGTCGTACGTGGGTACGATCAGCGCCATGGCATCGATTACGACCAAACCTTCGCTCCCGTCAGCCGCCACACCTAAGTCCGGATTTTACTCACCATTGCCGCCGCGAAGCACCTACCACTACGACAGATCGACGTAAAGAACGCGTTCTTGTACGCGTTGGTGGACACCACCATCTTTGTGGAGCAGCCGCACACCTACGGGGAAGGAGATCCCAGGGTCTGTCAACTGAAGAAATCCCTGTACGGGATCAAGCAGGCGCCTCGCCTCTGGCAGCAGCACCTGCACAAAATTCTACTCGAAATCGGCTTCAAGCAGCTCCCACACGACCCGGGTATGTATCGTCTTCACTTCAGTGGCGACTACATCCTCCTGACAGTCTACGTCGACGACCTGCTGTACACGGGGACCTGCAATAAACTCCTGGACCAGTTTGAAGAGAACCTGGCGCAGCGCGTGGACATCACCATCAATCCCGAAGTGAAGCAGTTCTTGAGGTTAAACATCACTTACGCGCCAGAAGCAATTCACTTGTCAGCCTCCAAATACGCAGAGCAGTTGAGGGAACGCTTCAACATATTCCCCCGCACCACTCTCTACTCCCTACCGCAGCCCCAGCACCAACTACAAATCGGACAACAAACCACTGTCACCCGCAGGACTTCAACTGTACCAGCAGCAACTGGGTTGCCTGCTGTTCGCCTCTGTCACCTGCCGACCCGACCTTTCGTACATCGCTAGCCAATTTGCACAGTATTCCCGCAAGCCAGTAGCAGAGAACCAGCTCGACCTAGAACGCGCCCTGTAGTACTTCATCTCCACACCTGACATTGGGCTCTCCTACTCCACGCTGACGACGACCTCCTTCAATCTCAACGGTTACGTGGACACAGATCACGCAGCTGATCCTGAAAATCGACGGTCCCGAACTGGCTTCGTTTTTCGCCTGGAACCAATTGGGTCAATCTCCTAGAACTCACAGAAGCAGGAGATGGTTGCCCTGTCATCGGCTGAAGCAAAATACATCGCCGCGACAGCAGCAGTTCGTGAAGGGCTGTACCTGCAAGAGCTGCTGCAGGAAGCGAAAATTCCAACTTCGCCCACCTTTCGCCTTCACTGCGACAACCAGAGTGCCATCAGGATGGCGAACAAGCCAGGTTTCGTGAATCGCACAAAGCACGTCGCACTTCGGTATTTTTTCGTCAATGACGAAATTGACCAAGGCAAAGTTGACCTCGCCTATTGCCCGACCACCGAGATGGCAGCAGACTTCCTCACCAAGCGCTTGCCACGTCAGCAGTACAAGCACTGCTCTGACCTTACCGGAGTAGTCAAGCGAGTCAGCTCCCTCTGCGCCCAGGAATGAAGGGGAGTGTTACGATATGAAGTTTTATGAGTAAGGCATTCCTGTATGCTGCAAGAGCCGACTCTACCGAGTATGAAGTCGAGGAGTCAGAAGAGTCGAAGCGACGTAAAAACCGTCTGACCAAAAACCGGTGCAGGCAGAAACATCTGAAATGAAAAAGGCGGGAACAGGTTCAAAACGGGTTCCCACACCGCACGGTTTGAATTTGCTGTAATAAGAGAATGTACCCCTTAGAGTACATGGCTAGTCTAGGTCTTTTCGTATTCCCCTGTACTCTTATATAAACTCGATGTATGCATGCCATTATTAACTCAGTCATTTACATTCACTATGACATGAGATTCAAATCTTCCGCTGCAACACTACTCTGCGATCAACCCAGAGCGATCCTTCGCTAAGTCCCATTTGGGATTGTAACACACCCTACGGCTCAGACAAGTCACGTCCCAGCCCCAAACCGGTTCCTCTCGCAGCCCAACTCCCCCTCGTCCTTCTTGCAGCTCAGCATCCGAACCCTCTGCTGCACTGTCCCGCCTCTCGCAGCTCAACATCCCCATGATTCGGTTGTGACGCTCTGATAAAAACAACATGACACAACTACAATTTGGACAACACTACTCGTTTCATCTGTAAAATCAGACATGCCTTTCTCATTCGTCTGAAAAATCAGACCAAACTTTTCTCCCATCTGAACGTCAGACGAAACAGATTTTGGGATTTATGTTTTCAGACGGGCTCAAAACCTAGCAAGAGCCCTGGACCTGGTGTCTTGCGTTCTTTCTTCTTCTGCGCGCCATCACACAATACCGTACCCATGGTGCTCTGCGCGTTGGTATCAAGCGGAAACGCACACATCCATCCACCTCCACCAAACCAAACCAAACCCTGTCTTTTCCAAGCCAAGAATAGCTCAGAGTTTCAATCCCGCCCTTGGAGTTGGTGTTGCTCTCCTCTGAACAGACAGAGACCAAGGCACAGAATAAGTCGCGAAGATGCCATGCATGCGGACACTGAAAAGGCCTTGTTATATTCCAGGGTATCATCATGCTGACATGCACATGGTATCGACGCAGTGGATTAGTGTGAAGTACAACAATAACACAGATTGTGACTAGCTGAATCACGCAAGTCCTTGCGGTACTATGGTACCAGTATTATCTCAGTAGCATCCTAGGGTAGCAAAAAATGGCCGTTTTAGTGTCAGATCCTACAGCATGCAGATCCTACAGCATGCAGATCCTAGAGCATGCATTGGGCTTCACAAACCCTGTAAACAGCGCTGGATTTCTCTCCTCGCGCGACCTATGCATGGTTATGTGTGCCACTAAACGTAATCCTCGGTACCAGCCCATCAACATCAACGGTTCTCACCGCCCTACAGCCAGCCGAATATTGACTGCAGCGGTAATACTTCCTCAAGAAGGAAGCTTCGCCTTTCCGATGGATTATCTTGTTGCCATTGTTGTGCCACCGGTGGGTTTCACCACTCAAACTCGTGCTTGCAGCTGCAGACCCATGCAAAGCTGCAGATCCATGCAAAGCTGCAGACCCATGCAAAGCTGCAGATCCATGCAAAGCTGCAGACCCATGCAAAGCTGAGGCATCTGAACCTGACGCAGCAGATTCAGCAGCAGTTAGAGTGGAGTGAATTGATGCGGATGGAGTGGGTGAGGTGGTGGGGGTGCTTGGGGTGGTAGGACTGGAAGTGAAGGCAGAAGATTTGATGAGTTTCGCCTGCTTGTTGCCCTTCTCCCTTATCTCGCGTATTCTCCTTTTCCTAGGCTCTACTATGTTCTCCCCCACTTTGGAAACTTCAAGCTTGGAAGCTTCCTCCGGCTGCACTGCTGCTGAAGGTGGCTGCACGGCAGGGGTTGAAGCACCTCTGCCCAATCCCATTGCTTGCAGTCGAAAAGGGAAGGCGGTGCTACCGGCAAACAAAGGGTTTCTCAATAAAGCGTATGGGGTGTATGGCAATTGAGTTGGGTGGCTGTAGAATGGATTCCAAGCAGGCTCCAGAGGAAAAACAGAAGGGTGAAACGGCTGACAGATGCTCAGAGGGTGTGACGGGGAGTCAGAGGGTTCAATGAAGCTTCCATCCCCAAGCATGGCACCTCCCTCGCACCCTGGCGTTCCCAATGACGAGCGTCGCTGGGCAGCCAACCGCGCTCCTTCCTCTGCAGAGAGCAACCGGATTTTCTTCCCAGAATATACCGGGTCGGGAGACGCAGGAGGCTCGGGCGCGACGAGAGCAGCCTCGCTTACTAATTCCTTTGGGTTTTCCGAGAGGTGCGGAGAGGCTCGGTCGCCGTCTCCCATGCTGCTGCCAGCCACCACCAATGCGCCGCTGCTGCTGCCGCCGTCTCCTGTGCCGCTGGTAATCACCACTGTGCCGCTGCCGCTGTCTCCCATGCTGCTGCCAGCCACCACCACTGTGCCGCTGCCGCTGTCTCCCGCGCCGCTGCCGCTGTCTCCCGCGCCGCTGGTAACCACCACTGTGCCGCCCTCGTCCCCAGCAGCAGCGTTGCTGCCGCCCTCACAAGGAGCAGCGTTGCTGCCGCCCTCACAAACAGCAGTGCAACTCCGTGAGAGGTGTGCAGAAACTGTGTTGCCGCCTCCCATGCTGCTGCCTAATCCGCCCTCCTCTCTCGCCGTCTCCCCAATCATGCCCCTGGTTACCACCGCTGTGCCGCTGCCACCCTCACAAGAAGCAGTGCCGGTGCTGCCTAATTCTCCCTTCTCATTCACCGTGTCCCTGCGTGACATGCTGTTACCGACTCGCGCAGAGCTTCTTTTCACCAGCTTCGCCTGTCTTATCTCTCGCTTCATCTGCTGCAACAGTCCTGTCAAGGTCAGCCCCGTACCGCCATCACCAGCGCCAGCACCTTTTGCACCAGCATCGGCGTTAGAAATAGCATCAGCTTTATCATCGGCGGTAGCATCATCAGCAGCATCACCGACGGCAGCGCAAGCGCCTCTGGCGGCAGCGCGACTCACGTGCTGCTGCGCTGCCGTCGCGTCGCCTTCTGCATCATCAAAGGCATCATAGGTAGCATCAGCGTCAGCATCGGCAGCATCAGCACGAGCAACATCACCCACGGCAGCACGAGCCGCGCCAGCAGCCTCAGGCTGACTTACGTGCTGCTGCGGTGCCGTCGCGACACCCGCCGACTCGGATTCGACTCTCGAAATCGCCGTCCGCTGAGCAGAATCGCCGCTTAGTATCGGCGTTTCTGATTCGCCGCTTACAATCGGCGTTTCGTATTCGCCGCGGCCTATTGATAGCACGAGATCTAAGTCTAGCATCCCCTGCAGCAAAGGCCGAGTCATTGCCATATTCAGCTTCCGTTGAGTCCTAGCCGCTACTACACTCGCGGGCAGAGCATCAAAAGAAGCGCTGGCGAGAAACAAGGTCAAACTTTCGACCGCCAATTTACGTGCTCCTTAGTACTGAATGCGATGAGAAACTAAATCTACTCGCACACAGCACATCGCTTCCAGATTGCGACAAGTCTGATGCCTTCAAATGTTCATACGCGCCCTGTCGGAGAAACACGGGCGAATCCGCGATCGCTTCCGCGTGCTCGCGGAAGCGAGCTGCCCGCGGGCAAGAAAAACTAAAACCCAGTCGGAAGGCATGCGGTTCGGGAGCATCAACCCTAAAATTTCAGGGTTGAGGCTCCCGAACGGCATGCCGGTCGCGATGGGGAATATTTTTTCTTGCCCCGGGCAGAATGCTTCCGCCAGCTCCGCGTCCTGGTGGATTCGAAACCCACCAGGAGAGGGACCTGGTGGGTTTGCCCACCAGGGCTCGGATGGACTCCCAGTGGCAGAACATCTTCATCAGGCCTGTCGCTTGCAGGGCGTTTGCCCTGCTGGACCTTGAATTCCAGGGCTGGGTTGCCCTTGAAAACTGAAATTGATGGGTTGAGAAAATTGTGGCCCTGATTCATTACAGGGCTGATTTCGGGCTTAGGTCTGGAGTGTTAAGGGTAGATTTCAGGCGAGCCCTGGAACATAGTCTTTCGAACTCCCCTCCCACTCCTCCCCCCCCCCCCTCCCCCCCCAAACTCCTCCATTCCCCCTCCCCCCGTTTCTATTTTGATTGCATTCAAGCCTGTCAAATTTGGAGTTGCGTGGCTGGACCACAGATTCAACTCAGCCAACAACTGGTACTTGTACCAATTACAACCTCGCTCCCATCCCATGACACACAGACAGTAGCATGAACCAACATGCAGCAGCAAAACACATCTCAGATCCCCGTCATGTTGTGCACCCTCAGGCCTGAATGGGCATAGCAAGCAGCAAAACACATCTCAGATCTTTGCTAAGAGTTGGAAGAGGAGGAAGTCTGTTACGCGTGCGTAGTGAATGACGCTAACTAGTTTTGTTTTTGCTAACTAGCTAATTTGATACTAGCGGAGTGCAGCTGTCAGCTTTGTGGTAGAACTGAGGCTGCAGAATATCCGCGGCAAACCTGACTTACAGGGAGGAATAAATTTCAGCCCTGAAGCCTAAAGGGCCGAGATTCGCCCCGACCCTGCTAAATACAGGGTCGTACATGCCGGGCCCCCTGATTTGTCCGGGGGGGCCAAAACGAAACGACAGCCCTGATCTTCATATCTCGTCAACAGTTCAGTTCTTCGGTCCGACTGGGTTTGACAATTCTTTGGTCCGACAGATACCGAAGTACTGCACTCTGCTGATGAAGCAACCGAACCGACCCGACCAAGGCTGTGGTCCGACCGACTCCGAAACATTGGCGGGGACGGTCTGAAAATGGTGAGGGGAGACCACACTCAACCTCGTCCGATTCCGAACCGAAACATTTGCAGGGGTACGGTCTGAAAGAAGCGGACCACACTCAACCTCATCCAGCCTTGGGGAAGACTTGGTAGCCCTAGTTCCACCCTTCGGGGGTGTTTAGGGCTTGTTACATATTTTACTTCAGCCCGTCCGGACTGGCACGTCCGGACTTTTGTGTGGCTACCCTTTTCGTTGTGTTTCGTGAATTTCCTCGCTAAACCACTTGCGACGTCGTTAGCGATCGGACTGGTGATGGAACATTTTGCGCGAATTGCCTTCCCAAATCGACCGGACGATTACAGTTCGATTAGTGGACGGACGTAACAGTAACGCAAATTCATTGGTCAGCGATTAAAGTCTTCAAGTCGCTTTGATGTTACCTTTCTCGTAGTCTGTTCGTAATCGTGGTTACAACCTCGCAAACATTCGAGTTTTCGTCAGGCTGAAAATGTTTCATCTACAACGTCGGACGAGGTTTAGTCCGGACGCTGGACTCGTACTGCCCGAGATTCGGAATCTGAACTGTTCTCGGACGGTTGTCCGGACTTTAGCCAGTTTAAAAAATGTAACACGCCTTCAGCAGGCTTGGCAAATCAAGTAACAGCCCTTCGCAGTCGCCAGAAACAAGTAACTGTCGACAACTTCGTTCGGTTGTTCGTTACCACCCTCCAAGCCCATGAGATGCAGGGGTGCAGAGCTCGTCAACAACCACGGAACCACGCCGAGCACGTATAACGGATTTCCGATCGGTGGAAACTGGGTTTGCCTGGTGAATCTAACGGTGGAGCAGCTTCGTCGCACCACGACCTTTCCTGCCACGTATGCCTCACACGCGAAAGTCACTTCTCACTTGCTGCGCACGAAACAATTCTTCAGAATTCAACACTTCCAAAATGCAGATTCGTGTCGACATGGAATAGAAACGCGGCTCCTGCCAAACTGAGCGCATCAAGCACATGCTCCCTAGAAGTCTTCGGGAGGTCAAGCACAACTAGGTTGAGAGCAGGTGACGCATATAGTCAGTTTTGTTCCGTCCGGAGGAACTATTGCTACGATAACTATATTCACCCTCGTGAGCTATTTCTACGAACGTCTCACATCTTTCTCATTTATCTCGTGCACCTGTGTTTCTCAACGTCCTTAATTAGTCGGCATACAATTCTCAATATAGACGCCAGGGCCACGGCTAATATCAATGGGTGCACTACGATTAGGGGACGTAACCTCCAGACGCAATAGCCCGCTTCCTCTCTCTTCCCCTGTTGCACGATTTCGGCGGAACCAAGATTTGGAGAGTTAACCAGACCCGCAAGCCCACGGAGGAAGCGCAGCTGGAGGTGGAACGTCACAAGCGAGTGTGACTACGACGGTCGTGATTGTGCAAGACAGCTGCTCCACATCCGCCACCATTTCTTGTCCCCCCCCTCGTGCCACTGCACCTTCCACAGCGGGCACGCCTTTTCCAGGGGGTTCTCTATCGCCTGTAGGCTCCCTTTCCCCAACTTACGTGCTGTATGTAAGCGAATCAACGATCCTCTGTTCAATGAACCATGTGATCAATCTATTGCACTCGGTGTCAACCCAACTCAAGCAGAAAGAAAAAAAAAAGTATTTCGTGAACCCTTTTTAGTAGCACAGAATATCGAGTCAGTATTGGGCCTTACAAACCCTGCGTATGATCCTGTCTTTCTGTCCTCGTGGCCGCATTATCAACCGTTAAGTGGTTATGGTCCCCTTTAAACGTTGTCCTCTGCCCGGGAACATCATCAACGTATTTCCTCGCCCGACAGCCAGTCGAATATTGACTGCAACGGAGGTGCTTTCTCTTGAAGGGGGGTCTACCTGTCGGATGAATGGTCTTGTTTCCGTTGTTGTGCCACGTGTAATTTGCAGCTGCAGACGTACCAGCAGCGATAGTAGTGGAAGGTGCTGATGTGGGCGCGTTCGGTTGCACTATTGCTAACGCCGACTGTCCTGCAGCGGGTGAAGCGCCTCCGATCAATCCCAGTGTTTGTGGTTGAAGGGGTAAGGTGTGTGACACTTCTGCCGGGTGATTTTGGCTCACGTTTTGAGTAGACCGCAGAGGGATAAGAGGGGGGCGGGACTCTCGATGGATGCTCAATGGGGTAGAAGGTGAGCCGCTAAAACTTACAGACCCGATGTTCTCCAGCTCCGAAGTTCGCTGCATGTTGGCGGTCGACGCAGGCCTTGCGACCGCTCTGTTGCCACTCGCACTCGCCTGTGTTTTCTGCCGCTTTATCGCCTCCAGCACTTTTGAGATTGTCAGCCCCCTTGCGTCATCACCAGCGTCATCACCAGCGCCATCACCAGCGCCATCACCAGCGCCATCACCAGCGCCATCACCAGCGCCATCACCAGCGCCATCACCAGCGCCATCACCAGCGCCATCACCAGCGCCATCACCAGGGCCATCACCAGCGCCAGCAATATCGCCGACGGCAGCGCCAACGCCAGCATCCTGGCTCCTGTGCTGCTGATCTGCCGTGGTGTCACCATTTGCATCAGCATTGGCATCATAAGTAGCATCGGCGTCAGCATCGTTAGCATCAGTACCAGCAACATCACGGATGGCAGCGCCAACGCCAGCGCCCTGGCTCCCGTGCTGCTGCTCTACCGTGGTGTCACCTTGTGCACCAGCGTTGGCATTATCAATGGCATCGGTGTTAGAATCGTCACCATCAGCACCATCACTATCACCGACGGCAACGCCAACGCTAGCACCCTGACTCCCGTGCTGGTTCTCTGCCATCGCGTCGCCTGCCAATTCCGATTCGATTCTCGGAAGCAGAGTCCCTGTCTGCTGTGCAGAATTGCCGCCCATCAGCATTTCGAATTCGGACATCCAACTCATTCCGGGAGTCATTACCGGATCTAGCTCCCCCTCAGTAGCGGGATTTGCGGGCGCTGCATCAGAAGGAGCGCTCATAAAAAGCAAGTTTGTCAGTGTAGTACTATCCATTAGTCGAAGTGGCAGTGAAACGCTAGCAGCAGCAGCTCGGCTTAGGGGGATGGATGGGATGGGATGCGAAGCGATCGCCGATTCAGTCAGTGAAGCGAGTTTGACAGGCTTCGCATCCAATAAGGCGCTGACAAATTCGTCAGGATTTGAGAATAATGGCGAGCGAGGAAACTCATAGGTCTGCAGAACTCATACTGTGTTGGTGAGAAGAGGTAAACCAAACCCTAACGCACTGGGTGAAAGGAATGCGGCGCATCTGTTCCTCTTTTTATCTATAGTGTGTGAGGCAGTGACTGGGAGGAAAATGCCACGAAGGTGCCGTAAATGCGTGCCGTTAGGACACTCCCCTCCAAGCGTCGCCGCCTTCTGCCCTAGCGGCCAGCGTTTCCGCTCGTGCGCTGAAGCCCAAGTCAACTTGGAATTCCTTGGTGAGCAAGCAAGCATACAGGGACTCAGGGAGGGTGTGAAGTGAAATGCATCGCGCCGCATGTCCTCCAAGTAGCATTTCTTTCCCCTGGCAATTTTTGTCGTCGACGAAAGCGTACGACAAGTGGGCACTATTTGGTAGTTCGAAATCAGAAGCCTCGCCTAAAACAGCTGTGAAACTAGGGCTCCTGCTCGAAGCCCCAGTTGGAGGGTGGAGGAGCCCTGCTTCATCGCAATTGTGTAGTCACCTGAAGCTGTCGTTTGTGTTAGTGATTTCGTGTACAGAAACAATGGTTCACAGGCTGTACTGTAGAAAGAACATCGTAATAGAGCAACGTGATTTGTTCAACCAACTACACCAATCAGAATGAAAGCTTTGCGTTGACTTGGACGACAAACAACCAACGATGGTCCGACTCCAAAGATCTGGGGGTCAATCACACGTGGAGCATCTCGTCAACCCAGATTCGTGGACGGAGGGAAAGACTCGGTATACCTCACCACGTTGTACCTCACAGAACCGTCGTCATTCATCTGAGCTCCCTCGTGCGTTTGCGGTTCAACAGTTCACGCATCACTGCTAATGAAAGCGGCGAGTCGCGCGGTCCAGGGCCTTCAAACAAACAAACCGATTTAGAATGCCCACCATCGTGCTCGACCGCATTCGTTGTGCAATGACAGTGGGAGAGGCAATGGCAGTGGCGAGAGGCAGTGGTAGTGGCGAGAGGCAGTGGCAGTGGCGAAGAAAACGTCGTGACGTGACTGGAAGGTGGAGAGGAGAGCTCCGTCAACATCACGGCCAGCACGTAAAACTGATTTTGGCTCGGTGGGACCCGGATTTGCTCAGGGTGGATCCAACGGCGGAACAGCTTCGTGCATCACCAAACCTGAACTATCCTGCCACGTATGCCTTGCTCTAGCTTGTCACTTGCTCGGCACGAAACAAATACAGTACACATGATGCTCATTTGAGATTCAACACGCTGGAAATTCAAATTCGTGCCGAGTCGACGCCACTACAAATATGCCTCCTCCAAACCCAAGCCGCGCATCGACCACCACCCCACCGAAGCGCCCTTTTCAAAAAGCCCGGCATTATTAAGGCTCTACTATAAGTAGGTAGAGAGTAAGTTGACAGTTAGTTCTGTTTCGTCCAGAAATTACTACTGCGATTATTTTCTTTAGACACGTTAGCAACCATGGGAACGTCCTTCATTTTGGAGTCTCTGCTTCTGCTTCCATTCCTTTCACATGTGTTGCTCCACGTCCTGAATTAGTCGGCATAATCTTCTCGATAATGATGCAAGGACCACCGTTAAAACCAACGGGTGCACTACAATATATGCGATCCATCAGCCAGCTGCAGGATCCCGCTCTCGCTCTTTCCCTCTCTTCGTACGATTTGACGGAACAGCATTTGGAGTGTCAGCCGGCTAGCAAGCCCCCGGGGAAACAGCAGCCGCCGCTCGGACTGCAAGCAGCTGAGGACGACTCAAGCGAGTGTGACTATAACGGGAATGAATACGACGGCATCTGTTCCACAACCACGACATTTGCTTGTTTTCCCCCTCTCTCCACCGTATCGTCCACAGCGGACTCGTTTTTCCCCGCGGGTTCTCTTTCGCCTCAAGTCCTCACTTCCTTGCTGCGCGTAAGTAAAAACATGAGTCGGTGTGATCCATCGTGTCATCAATTTGTTACGAGCAAAAGCATTACACTAGAAAGGCAACCCAACACATTATTGTACAAATGAACAAAACATCAGAAGCAAAACATGCGAAGTTGTACTGGAACGTAATTGACTGCCCGGGAACATCATCTACGGTTATAGCTGATGATTATGTTCGCCAGGAAACGTAATTGTCTGCCCCGGATCATCATTAACGTACATCTTCGCCGGACAGCCTGAGACCTTGCAGCGGTGGTACTTCCTCAAAAAAGCCCCCCCTGCCTGTTTTATGACCTTGTTTCCATCGTTACGCCACGTGCAGTTCGCACCACTCGGGCCCCGAGACGTGATATCAGCTGCAGACGCATCTGAATCGGAAGCGGCAGACTCAGCAGCGCTAGGAGTGGCATGTGCTGACGTGGACGGGGTCATTGTCGTCGTAGAGGTGGTTGGGGTGGTAGCACCGGAAAAGCGACCATCACTCTTCATGACCCGCGCCCTCCTATTTCCCCTCTGCCGTATCTCCCTGTTTTGTTCTTATGAAAGCTTTCGTTTGCCTCCCCCCTTGGAAGCTTCTTCCGGCTGCACCCTTTCGAAAGTCGACTGTTCTGCAGGGAATGAAGCGCCTCCGGTCCATCTTAATGCTCGCGGTTGAAGGGGTAGTAAGGCGTGTCGTTAATCTGCCAGGAGATTGTTGCTTATGTTCTGACTAGAATCCAGATTGAAGAGAGGGGCGCGGACCTTTCGACTCGAACGAATGCTCTGGGAATTACACCGAGACTGCAAGGGTGAGAGCGCCAAATCTCGCTGCATGCTGGTGGTCGATGCAGCCCTGGCGACGTCGCTGCTACCACTCGCATCACTCGCCGTGTCCCCGCGCGAATGCATGTTAACCAGCGCCAGACTTCGCTGCATGTTGGCGTTCGACGCAGCCCTGACGCCGTCGTTGCTACCACTCGCACCCGCCTGTCTTCTGTGCCGCTTTCTCCGCTGCAGCACTCCGGTGATGGTCAGTCCCGTACCGCCATCACCAGCTCCAACGGCAGCGCCAACGCCAGCATCCTGACTCTCGTGCTGCTGCTCTGCCGTGGCGTCACCTGCCGATGCGGATTCCACTCCCAGACGTGGAGTCCCCGTCTTCTGAGCAAATTCACCGCATACCGCGGCGGGATTCGCGGTGTGGTTCGCGCACAGAGGATCAGAAGAACCGCTAGCAGGCTGAATGCCCAGCGCGGTGAGCACGTCAGCACACGATGCTTGAGTGCGGTCATTTTCTTCGTAGAAACCGTAGCGCGCCAGGGAGAGTCCTTCAAATTGAGCTTCTTGTTCAACCTTCATCACTCGGAAAAGCTCGAGCAGTTGGCGAGCCTCGAGAAGGTCTAACGGAAGTTCTGACGGCGCGGTGGCTCCCCCGCTTGGAAGTTCGTTGGCCTCTGCAATGGCGGCAGGGTCTCCCATGGCTGCTGCGTCTCCTGTGGCGACCGCGTCTTCACTAGCAGAGACAATAGAAGTAGCATAGATACCACCGACGGCAACGCCAACGCCAGGAATCCCGCGCTGCTGCTCTCCCGCCGAGTCGCCTTTTGCAATAGTATCGCCATTAAGAGTAGCACCAGCACCAGCAATATCATCCACAGCGATGTTAACGCCACCGCCACCGCCCTAACTTTCGTGCTGCTGCTCTGCCGTAGTGTCGCCTGCCGATGCCGATTCCAATCCCAGGCGCGGAGTCCCCGTCCGCTGAGCAGAATCACCACCTATAGCGGCGGGATTCGCGGTGTGGGTCGCGCACAGAGGATCAGAAAAGCCAATAGCAGGCTGGATGCCCCACGTGGTGAACACGTCAGTAGACGATGCTTGAGCGCGGTCGAAATCGTAGCGCTCCGGGGGGAGCCCGTCATCCGCTTCGTCCCCGAACGTCGCCTCGAGCAGATTGTTGGCCGCGTCTCCCGAGGCGACCGGCGCGCCACCAATCATGACGTTCAACAGGTCATTCCTCCAGGATTCCCGCGGCGGACTGGAATTCGCAGGATCCAAGAAGATCTCGATTGGGATGCCGTGCTGGTCCGACATGGCAGCGATTCGCTTGCAACGAATCGGTTTCAAGCAATGACACGCCAGTGAGATAGGACGCGACGAAGCAATCTCTAGGTGATTCCGATAGGCGGGATTGACTGGCTTCGCGATCCAAAAATGGAAGGCTTCACCATTCAGGGTGGCGGCAACAACATGACTCAGATCGGAGAAGTGACATGAAGCTATTCATGCGCTTCATGGTGCGCAACGTGAGAGATGGGGGCCAGTGGACGGCGCCACATCTTTCCCCTCCCGACGATCCTGTCGTGTGCAACAACTAGGGTTTCAGATTCCAGTCCACTCAAGACGGCGAGCGAAAACTGGGCGTTGTTCGCAACCCGCTACTGTAGTGGTCCTTGGGGCGGGGTTCGGTGGCGAAAAGTTGTTCGCAATTTCTTAACCATTGTTGGCGGGCTGTTGAAGCAACATTCTGTTCCAAGCAAGCAAGCAATGCGCTAACTAAGACGACGGATGATCTCAAGCAACCAAAAATGGTCCGAAACAGATAGGTGACGCCACGTGCTACTGAAAGACCAACTAACCAATTGTAACGAATCCAGCGTGGCTTCGCTAACTCTGGCGAGGCCGTTGTAGCCACTACCACGTTTTACCGAACAAAACCGTTACGTACCATCAAACAACATTTTTACTACGCCTTATTGTTCCACAAATAACAAAAACAGCTCATCTTGCTCCGCAATTTTTCTAAGGCAAAACCACGCGGACGATAACAACCCTCTTCACAACTTCTCCTTAGCGATGTTCCGCTGCCACAGGGAATGGGGGGAGAGGATAGGATGGAGCATCAGAACGCCGAACCTCCTGGTTCGATCTGTTCGAACCATGCAGAACACTTCTATCAGACATGAAAATTGTGAAAAGAGTGTCGGACGTGAGCCTAAAACGCGACGCGAACCCCGCGCTAGGCTAGAACCCGCGCCGCGTCCTCCCCCCGATTCCCCCCCATGGCGGAAAAACCCCGCCCTAGTGTTCAGGGCATGGAAAGTGCATTCCCGTGGGTGGTCTCAGCCCACGGGGATGAAGGTTATTTTATTGATCGTAATCAATGTACAAGTCATATAGCATAGAGCTGTCTAAAAATATGGCCAGAGTGGCCAGCATCCCATAAGGAGCACGTGGATCACACATTATTTCCTTGTCCGGAGGACAACCGCCAGCGACCTGGGGAGACGCTCTATGCAGAGGCTGTCTACGGGGATCGAAAAGGATTCCCCAAGAGCCATGAGAATCTGAGGTTGGGGTGAATGGATGGTATACCGTGTCGGTCAAAGAGAAGGAAGCGGAGATCCTGTGCTCGCTTGATGCTGGAGGATGTGCGTTGTCGCTTTTTGGGAGATTGGCGTCGGCTTCTCCAAATCAGAATCTTGAAGGCGATAAGGAACTGGGCAAGAATCAGCTGCAGGATCTCAAAATTCGAGAAGGAGGAGTTGTGGTTCCTGTGGGTGCAGCGTGCCTGCCACAGTGTCTTAACCGCTGCTCCCACTAGTAGGCTCCAAGGTGGGGACTGTCCTACGCGTGACTGTATTGGGAAGAAGATGTGCTCGGCGGTGGTTGTTTGTCCAAGGTGGCGGTCAGCGACTGTGCGAAGGGCCGAGCTGACGTTGCGGGTGGAGGAGCATTCGAAGAAAATGTGCGGTATTGTCTCGACGACCGCGGCTGGGCAGCGAGGGCAGATCCCCCCGTCATCAAAGTATTGGAGGCGAGACCCTGAGGGAAGGGTGAGCGTGTAGAATCTGAAAAGGATGTCCCGCTGGCGGCTCGGCTGATCCTTGAGAAACGAATGTGTAAGGTCAGGGAGAGGAGGAGGAGGGATGGTGAGGTCGCGGGTCCATCGGAGGTGGTGAGTTAGTGGTTGTGCTGAGTAGAGGAGGCGGCGGATGTCGGCGATGCTGGGGGTGCCATCCTGCAGTAGTCCTAACCTAGCCCCTAACCCAGCCCCTTGGTGAAACGGCCCTGCGAGCCACCGTTCTCTTACGTACACCTCCACAAGATCCTGTAGGCGAAAGAGTCCAGTGGCTGCAGGGGCACGGGCGATGAGATTATTTGGTGAGACATGGTGGATAGTAGCCGAGACGGAGGAGGGGGGGGTGAAGGATACAACTTGGAGAGCGAGAGGAGATGCGGTATAGATGTCTTCCGAGAGCGCGAACCAATCTCCTGGGGATGCAGAAGAAGCGTATGGGGTTCGAAAGGCGGCCCACCAAGGTGGTTTAATAGCCTTGATAAGCTCTGGGAGGATGCGTTTTACGTCTGCGTGGAATTCCTCCGGGAGTTGGGAGCAAAATTCTTCGGCAGAGATAGGACTGACATGCAAGTTGTGGATTCGGACAATGTGTCCGATGTGGAATTGCCCTGTAAAGAGGAAGCGTTCGTGTTGGCGGGTGCCAAAAGGCCGATTGTCAGGTTTGAGGATTGACCGGTTGAAGGCGATTGGTTCGGTGAGGATACAATGCATGCGTAAGGGGGGGCCATGAATGACTAGCGGAAGGGAGAGGAGGGCTTTTAATTCGTCCAGCGCCCGAGGGGGGATGAAGGTGGGGAGATAATCTCGTTCGAGAATGGCTTTGTGGGAGAGTAGACCGTGCAGTCCGAAGGGGAACGGGGTCAAGGTACGTGCTACTTCCTCGGAGGGGGTTGGTCCAAATCTGCGCAGGGCGCGCTGAATAGCAAGAGCTTTGACTTGTATAGATGGTGTGATCGCACTGATCCCGCCGTCTTGGGGGGAGTTGTACAGGAGACCTTTGGAAATGAGCGCTGAGCGAGGCCGTCTTGTTTATGTTTCGATGACGAGAGAAAGTTCCCAACAGACATATCAAGGCGTGTGATTATGTCTGGTGGGACGGGTTGAAAGCGTCCAGGAAAAGAAAGGACTGTGTTGAGAAAGATCGAGGAAAGGGATTTGCGGCACGTGGCAGTGGCGTGTAGGGCTGCCAAGAATTTGGCGGTGGTTTGTATGTGCGTGAAAGCCTTGTTCCAGGTGGTGGAGCCAGGGTGTAACCGCTCGACGTAGATTCCGAGGATGCGTTCTGCCTCATTGGGGGCTCGGATGGGTATAATCCCGGCATGAGCAAGGTCAGCAGGGGGAATATTGAATGGAAGTATGGAGCACTTGTTCCAGTTGGGGACCTCACCAGAGACCGATCCAAAAACGCCGAGCATCAGTACAACTTGTCCGAGCTCTGCATCCGAGGTAAGAAAAAGGGTGACATCGTCCGCGTAGCACGCCATGAGGCGGCGCTGAGTGGAGGACAAGGCGAAACCGGGAAGGGAGAGGGACATGTAGCGGTGGAAGATCTCGATGACGCAGACGAAAAGCAAGGGGGCCAGTGGGCAGCCCTGTCGGACACCAGTCCGGACGGGGAAGGTGGGGCCGAGCATGTTGTTAACTGAGACGCGTGTGTATGTTTCGGAGTGCATTAGACGGACCCAGTGGATAAAGGGTGCGGGGAGCCCTATGACAGATAAGGCCTGGAGGAGGAAAGATCTGTTGACGACGTCGTAAGCCTTGCGAAAGTCCACCGTAAGAGCAAGAAGGGGGGATGAGGAGAAGGCCGCCCAGTCCATGATGTCAAGGGTATCGTTGATCGTGTCTCCGATTTTCCTGTGCTTGATGAAAGCGGTTTGAGATGGGTGGATGAGTTGGGGGAGAACGAGCTGGAGGCGGTTAGCAAGGCATAGCGCGAAGACCTTGTAGTCAGCGTTCATGAGGGTGATGGGTCGGAGGTTTTCCACTAGCGAGGAGTCCCCCTTTTTAGGGATAAGGACGGTTCGTCCGGTCAGCATGGACGGAGGGAGGCGAGAGAGTGGCTGTGGTGGTGAGAGCAGGGAGTGAAAGGCCGGTGCGAAGCGTGGGGAGTATTGTCAGAAGAGCTCCCCGGGGAGACCGTCTGGGCCAGGGGTTTTTCCTCGTGAAAGAGAGAGAAGAGCCTTTCCGATTTCAGCTAGGGAAAGGGGGGAACTGAGGCGGATGAGTAGGGGGTTCGGGATGGAGGAGGGGGGATATGTTGCCAGAAGGATGGGTTGCGGGTGACTGGGTTGCTCCCGCTATAAAGGGTCAGAAAGAAGTTAGAGCACATGTTGGTCATGGTGGAGAGGTCCGAGGTTGTCTGTCCGTTGGGTAGGGTCAAGGAATTGATGATCGAGCCTTTGATCCGGGAGTTGAGTCCGGAGAGGAGGGAGGAGTCTCCCATTTCTCTGTGCCCCTCTACTTTAAATTTAGCCTTGAGCGCGATCTCGGAGGCTTTCGAGGCTTCATATCTGGCCAGGTGAAGCCGAGCTTGGTCTAGGCGGGAAGATTCGTCCTGATTCAAAGGGGTATACGCTGCTTGCAGTTGTAATGAACCAATGGTGTGTTCCAGATGTGCAGTCGTGCCGTCGACACGACGCTTTTCCTGGTTGGAAAATCTTTTAAAGTTAAGGGTGAGGTCAAGCTTCCATTTGTCCTAGGAATCTGGGGAAGGGGAGGAGGGGAAGGCTGCTAGGGCGGCATCAATTATTTGTGCAGCGTGGGGGCGCGTGAGTAGATGTTGGCGTAGTCGCCAGGGACGGGGGGCTACTGTGGGGTTGGTGAAACAGAGCGAGCAGAGGGGGGCATACAAGTGATCCGTGATAGTCCTGCGGGTTTGGAGGTACGGGCTAGCAACGAGCCGGGGGAGGAAGGTTCGGGAGATGTAAGTTCTGTCGAGACGAGAGGAAGTGGGCGGGGTCACTGTGTTGTGGCGTTGCCTGCCAAAGAAGGAGAAAACGTCGTTAGGCGTGGGGTGGAGTGCACGGAATGTGTCGACTAGCGAGTGAGTATCCATGAGTTTGGCGAAGGAAGCTCCTTCTCGACATTCATGATCTTTAGGGGGGCGGTTTCTGTCGTTGGGAAGGATGACCGAGTTGAAGTCTCCGGCGAGCATGGATGCGGAGGCAGCGGTGGGAGTTTCCAGCGCCGGGACAAGCGCGGTGATCCACCATATTCGACGCTCATAGAATTGTGTGAGCGCATATATGGCTATGAGGCGGATTTGCTCACGGAGATAGTAAAAATGTACAGAGAGAAGTCAGCCATCAGCAGAGGGAAGCGGGGAGGAAAGGGAGATGGCCCTGTTGAAGGAGAGGATGGAGATGCCTCCGATGAGGGTGGGCCTCCCGCGAGCGCTGTCAGTTGAGAGCAGCGCCGGGGCGTGAGCAGATGCGAGAGGCCGGAATTTAAGAACAAGATTGGGGATTCGGAGGATCAGACGGGTGTCAATGAGGATGAGCAGGTCAGTGGGGGCCGGGAGGCGCGAGAGCCAGGATTTAAGCTCATCCATTTTGCGAGTCTCGTTGATTCCGTTCACATTGATGCATAGGATGCGGAGGTGTGTTAACATGGCAATGACGTGAAGGCCACCGCACGGGCGATCGTGCGAATCCACGGCCCGAGCAAGTGTTTTAGCTGGTGAGTGTAAGGGGAGGAGGTGGGGTCAATAGGGGATGCTCGGCGTGTCCACGGCCTGGGGGGAAAGTTGTAACGTGGAGTGCTTGGGACAGGGGAGAGGCCGGTCTCAGCCCACGAGGAATGAAAAATTCATGCCCCCTTCCACAATTTTCGTTTATACATTTACTCCACACTCTAAAAAACAAATAGCCCGAACATTAAAACTATAATGCTAAACACAAAGATTCGAAATGAACTTGCCAAAATTGAATAAGGCCGAATCGTCATTTACACCCTTGAATTAATTTATGGTGTACAGAATTCAAGTAGAGCAAGCTACCCAAACAAATCGCAGCAGTAAACTGTTCAGCTCGCGAAGTTTCGTTTCGCGCGGCTGCAGTTTCGTGGGCCCCCATTTCCCGAGTCGCTCCTCCGCGCCTTTTCCCCCAAACTTTCCGCTTCCGCCTGGACTCCAGACTTGGAGTCAACGACGGTTGACTCCGAGCTGACCACCCCGAACTAGAAACCCTAGCTGCAAATCTGATCCCTCCCCCCATCCCTCGGTCGATGCCCTGTGGCAGCTGAACATCGCCCTTGATTAAAAATGCTCATTTCATTTTCAGTCCCTCCCCTGCAGCTGTTAGGTCCCAAATTGTTTCTTCCGGGTGTCTAGTTGATAGCCCGCGGATACCAGTGCTGTAAAGTCTCGCTACTTTTAATGTACGGCAGTTCCTAAATTATTTATATTTTAGTGTTTCCCCCCTCACGAAAATGGTGAAGAAGCGAAAGGCGAAGAACCAGGGCGGGGCTGGCGACATGGACATGGGGGACGTCGCCGCGCCTTCCGCCGCGACATTCTCCGCGGGAGCCGCTAAGGACGTCGCGGCCGCCGGATTTTCCGTCGCTTCAGCCGCCGTGGGAGGCGCCGATGCATCCGGCGAGGCGGGAGGTCCGATCGCTGGCGGCAACGCGATGGGTAAGAGGAAGATCAGAAGACGGAAACGACAAGGGGAGGGACAACATAACATTGACCTTGGGTTAGGAGGAAGGCTGGAGGGAACCCTAAATCTTGGGCAATGACTACTCTCGTCGCTCTTCGTGTCCTCCCTCCCCTCTCCCACGCCCCCCATCTCCGTCCCCCTTTCCCCCATGCACGCCCCTCTGACACGAGCGAGGCTTTTGAGATGTTTCAAAAGTCTGCCATGCGCGCCCCTCTCACACGAGCGAGGCTTTCCACCAACAGCCACACAAGTCACCCCCCTGTTCCTCCGTGACCTTCCCCCCTCCTCGCGCCTCCCCTACGCTTCCCCTCCTCCACACCCCCCTTCGCCCCCCTCCCCTTTCTCCTCCCCCCCCCCCTCCCCCCCACAAACTCTCTCCGCCACCCCTCCTCTGTCTCATTTGCCTCCCGTTCTCCCCGTTTCCTTCCGCACCCCCCATTCCCCACCCTTTCCCCTCAGACACAAGTGAGACTATGGGGTTCACAGTGACTAAGGCGCACAAGTCACCCCGCTGTGTGCCCCATCCTTCCGGGGCCCCCTCCCCCTCCCCTCTCTCCTCCGCTCACCCCCTTCCTCCCCTCCCCCATTCCTCCCCTCCCCCCCTCCCTCCCCTCCCCCACTCCTCCCCTCCCCCACTCCTCCCCTCCCCCACTCCTCCCCTGCCCCTTCTCCTCCCCTGCCCCCTCTCCTCCCCTCCCCCACTCCTCCCCCCCCCCCATCAGACACGAGTGAAGCGATGGGGTTCACGGTGGTCAAGGCGACGGCTGGGAACGCCCTCAGGCGTCTCCTCTTCTCCCACACCCCCTTCCTCTCCATACCCCATCCCCCGCTTTCCAGACACGAGTGAGGCGATGGGGTTCACAGTAATCAAGGCGTCGGCTGAGAACGCCCTCATGCGCACAAGTTACGCCCCCATGGCCCTCCTTTTTCTACCCCCCCACCGCTCCTCTCCTCCCCCCCCCCCCTCCCCCCCTTTTCCAGACACGAGTGAGACGATGGGGTTCACGGTGATCAAGGCCTCGGCTGAGAGCGCTCGCAGCACACCCGCTCTACCAGCCATAAGGTGAGCCGCCCGGCCCGCCCCCATGCGCATACCCCAGTCAGTCTGAGACTTCTCTGAGCACCGCTGCTGCTCAGCCCCTTGCGTGTACTACATGCTCTGGTGTGGTGAGACGGCCCCATGCGCGTACCCCAGTCTAAGACTTCTCAGAGCACCGCTGCTGCTCTGCCCGCATGTGTGGTCCGCTGTACTACATGCAATGGTATGGTGGGTGACTTTTGAGTCAACTCACAAGTCACACGGTGAGCCGTCCCCATGCATGTACCCCGGTCTGGGTTTTCTCAGACTGCAAAAGGCCACTCTCTCTGCAAAGGCCACACTCTCTCTTGCAAGCAGTGCGGATTCTGTTCAGTTGCATGCCCCTTCTGTTCTTATCAACCTCATGCTCCTCAACTCACCTTCTCACACTGACATACATCAACCATCTCCCCACACTGACATGTTAGATTTGGTGCGTTAATGGTTTATCGCTTTTATACCCAGCCATATGCAATTTCATTCGCAGCTCACTGTCTGAATTCCACCCAATACCGACACGCCACCTGGCAGGAAGAAGGGGGCACCGGAGCGACGCGCCAAGACTAGGCGGAAATAGAAGCTGCTGGATAAGGCACTTGCGATACGAGAGAAGACAGATACCAAGGCACAGAAGCATGCAGCCAAGAAGGCACGCGTGGAAACACTGAAGAAGCTGTACTAGGAAGAGCTTGGCAGTTTTTGTGCGCCGACAAAATAGATGGAAGAAGATTTACAAGGATTTGCTTCCAAGCAGTCACCCGTGTTGTTACTCTACTTTTAGTCAATCTGAAGCTGTACTCACAGCAGGCTGTTGAAAGCACAATTTGAAGGCACATGTGCTGTCATGCATGCAGACTTGAGGGAGGAAGACAGTTTGGGGTGGTGATGTGTATGCGTCACGCGGTATACGAATAGTGTAAGGAAATTTCCTTTTCCTTACTTTTGCGTCCCCGCTTAGCGCGTACATCACTGTAGCACCACAGTCAGCACCGTTACCACTCGCAACTCTCGCATCGACAATCCTCCCGCCACCTTCGCACATCGCACCCCGACCTCACGGCTCGGCGGGTAACCCGCGCTCCGGGCCTCCGCTTCGACACTTTTCCCAACCTCAGTCCCAGGCCTGTTCACGCTGTTGGGAATAATAAGTCTTAAGCGCCTCTGTCGTGTCGAAACTCAGGACACTAGCGAAGCAGTCCGAATCGAAGCATCGCGAGTCAACCCTCGGAGGTTAGGGTAACCGCCTGGAGGTTACGAGAAGGTCAAAGGTCAGTGACCTTTGACTTGACAAATACAGCGCGACAGCAAGGACACACAACTGACTCGACATAGAGCAGTTGCCCGAGTCGCACTGTATCGAATCGCAACAGTAAAACGGTTTTAACTTATCTATTCGTATTCCTTGTACTCTTATATAAACCTTTGTATTTGCTTGTTTAATTAACTTACTTTGCCCTCACATACTAGCGCAAGGTGGTTCAAGTACTTTCATTCAAACGCTTCCGCTACTACAATTCTACTCAGACTTAAAACTCTACAAAGATCCTAGGGCACTTCAGCCCAACATGGTATGAGAGCAGTTAGAGTTTTTAAAGTTGTTTTCCTTTTAACACTCAATACAAGAAGACATGTCTGCAAGGAAGGAGAGGAGCTCCTCCAACGGCTCTCCAGGCACTACTCCTACTCCACCTCCTGTCTCTGGTCTACAGACAGAGGAAGGGACTACCACGAGACCAGCAGCTGGGTCTACGGAAACGCCCGCAGGCTTCGATCCAAGCATGATGGAAAAGTTCTTCTCCTTCATGTCCTTCTACGAGCAGCACCAGCAAGGAGCACCTGCGCAATCAAACAACAGCAACAACAACAACAACGTGACGCCTATGAGTCTCGATGGCTCATCCTACGCACGTGGGATTCAACAACAACAACAACAGCCTACCTTTGCGCCATACGAGCCCCAGCGTGGCTCCGTCAGCTTCATGCCGCAACCGCAACCCGCACCAGGACAAGAAAGGGCATTGGATGCGTTACAAGTTCAATCGCAATTCGCGCATGTCTTAAAACTACAAACGACAAAGCCTTTCGACGGCAAAGATTTCTTCACCTGGTCGTTCGAGTTCGAACTGATGATGGAAGGAGCACAGATTCTCGGCTTCTTCGACGGGTCCCTGCCATATCCAACAAACGGGACGCAATATGAGAAGCAGCAATATACTTATCAATCGATGATGGCGTACACGATACTGCTGAGGAACATCACCCCGACCCAGCAGCAGAACATCAGGACTTACCGAGGCTACGGCAACTCCGCGGAGCTCGCGTACAACCACCTGAAGAACCTGTATCAAGCAACAGACAGCGTAAATCAAAGCAGGTTGATGGCGCAGCTGACAACGATTGAAATGAAACCAGACGAGAAAGGCATGGCTTATATCAGCCGCTGTCGCGAACTGCGCGACAAGCTTCTTCGATGCGGCGGGTCGATTTCAGAAGACGCCTTTGTCACGGTGGTCATCGGCGGTCACGGCCCCCACTGGCGCTCCACTCGCGCCATATTACGAGCACACGGGAGGATTTCCGAAGCGGCACTCTGCGCCGAAATTCATGCTGAGCAGCAAGACATGGACCTGCAAGAAGAAAGACACAAGAAGAAAGCATTAGCACCAGAGTTTGCGTTTCACACTCAGCGACGATACAACGGCAACAACAACCGTCAACAACAAGTAAAGACAGTACCTCCGTTCTGCCACATCTGCAAGACTTTGGGCCATCCTCGCACGCACTGCCCGTCTCGTCAGACAACACCACAGCGACAACTCCGGCCTTCAAGCTCCCAAGTTGCTTCAACGCAAGCAAGTCCGACGACCACAATCCAAGCTTCAACGACTTCAACTGGACAACCTGCACAAGGAACAAGAAGCATCGTCAATTGCATGGTGAAGATAACCGATTTGTGCACAACCAAGTCACCACCCCACTACTCACCGGAAGAAGAGCTCGACAACAGGACGCCTCGCCGCGAATCACTCCAGCCGGATCCGACGTACGCCGCCATCGCTCAAAGCGAACCATCTGGCCAAGACACTTGGTTCTTGGATAGTTGCTGCGGACAACACATGTGCTCCTCCGGGCGCTTCGTTCAACGCGAACATCGACTCCAGCGAGAAGTAGTCATCACGGTCGCCAACAATTAGAACCTGCGCACACGACGACAAGGAGCGGTACAGCTTCAGTCACGAGAAACAAATGTCATATTACACATGTCAAAGGTACTTATCGCGGAGGGACTAGGCTACAACTTACTGAGTGTCAGCCAGTTGATGGCGAAAGGCATCCACTTGGAAGCCGACAGCACCACCCAGGAGTTTAAGTTATACCACCGGAAGGGCGGCCTCTACATCGGAAAAGCAGTGTTGAAGAATAACGTCTTCGTCCTCGATTTCGTCCCCGACCTGGGCACTGCAGACAGCGACGCCATCGTCAACTTCACCGACTGGACTCATCCTCCGGATCTCGATCCCGACTTCAGCCCAGGAGGTTTCTGGTACTCGCACACCATCCCTGAAGCAGAACGAACACGAGCATTAGCAACGATTCAACAAACGACAGCAGCAGAGACAACATCGACAGCAGCAGAGACAACATCGGCAGCAGCAGAACCATCATCGGCAGCAGCAGAACCATCATCGGCAGCAGTAGAACCATCATCGAAAGCAGCAGGACCAACGACACCAGTCATCGAAACACCACCAACACCCGCACAACAGCTGAACCCGACTCAACGAGAAGTCCACCGAAGCGCAAACATCGTCGCCAACTTCTACTCCAACTCTGACGCGTATCAACGCTCACCCGGACATCGCGCTCCTGAAGACATCTGGCACGCACGCACATGACATCCAAGCAATACGGTGTTAAACAACACGATACGAGCAGGAGTTCTAGACAAGGATTCGCTACTACTACTCGACGGCAGAGAACTTCAACGTGCACGAGGGACTTGCCTCATCTGCCCCGAAGCCGACTTACCCCATCAACCGTTTTCCTCTCACCACAACCCGAGCGCACCTGCATACGCACCACTCGAGAAAGTTTACAGCGACATCCTCTACAATCGAGAACCAGGACAAGTCACCTACAATTACACGATCACCTTCATCGACGCCGCCACTCGATACATCTGGCATCGCAACCTACCCAGCCGCGACATGGCACTCGCAGCATTCGCCGCTTGGCTACCGGTAGCAGAGAGGGAATCAGGAACACAACTGAAAAGCTTCCAGTCAGACGGAGGAGGAGAGTACACCTCTCAGCGCTTCAAGCAGTACCTGGCGGAAAGAGGGATCAAGCAACTCCTCTCCCTTCCCTACGCACATCAGCAGCAAGGAGTAGCAGAAAGAATGAACAGGACTCTGCAGAACAGCATGCGCAAACTGCTACGTGGCATGCGGCTACCCAACCACCAGTGGCCTGCAGCAATGGACCATGCTGTCATGCTGCACAACTTGTTGTCGTCGTCGTCACTCCCGAACAACGCCTCACCGCATCTGCTGTGGACAGGGAAGCTGGGCAGCACAAAAATGTTACGAGTTTTCGAATGCATGGTACAGTACAGACCCCCAGAAGCACAAGCGGGAAGATTTTCACAACGGGCACAGTGGGGACTACACCTCGGCATCGAGAAACATTACAACGCGTGGAAAATCTTCGACGTCCACACAAAGGAAACAGTAGCAGCACGTGATGTGATCTTCTACGAGCGACTCACCCTTCAGACGTACCTCGCCAACTTGCACGAGAATCGGGACCTCACAGGTGGCTTTCGTGGTGACCGAGCCTTCGCCTCAGCAGCGGACGAAGCAGACTGGGATGAACAGAACGTCGACAACGCATCAGAAGAAGCCGGACCTCTCCCGTACTGCTCCGTCGACGTGCCCATGGACGAAGAAAATCCTCGCGACAGTAACAACGCTGAAGTCTTCTATCACTTCGCCGACAACGGTTACGTAACACCTGTGACAGTCAACACAAATGAAGCAGAAAGGATAGGGCCAAATTTCATATCCGATCCAGAAGCAGGAGACGAAGCAGCTTATCCCGAGGATACAACACTCCCCCGATACTCACAGACTGGGCTGCAAATCCTTGGTCTCGTCACCGCAGTCCACGGGAACACAGGCAGCACGCTTCCTAAAGAGCCTGCGACGGTTCAGCAGGCTCTTGGGGGGGAACACAGGGAGAAATGGCGTGAAGCCATGGACAGGGAATTAAAAGCATTAGAGGAACGCAACACCTGGAAGGTCGTTCCCGCAAGCGTGGCACGGAACAAGACCATTCTCACCGGGAAATGGGTCTTCCGCATCAAGACGAAAGCTGACGGCACAATCGAGAAGTTCAAAGCACGCTGGGTCGTGCGTGGATTCGACCAGGAGCAAGGACGAG